TACTTTCAGAGCCTCTTGACTCTACCAGATATTCTAACTGTTTAGGGTCAATATTCAATACCTGTGAACCTTGACCACCCTTGCTGCCACTGGCCCGCAACATGCTGGGGTCACTTCGCGCTTTGGGTATCTCCAGCTTTCTCGGTTTTTTCCGTACGCTCCTCCCAGTGTTTTTTTTTTTGTCGCTGGCCCCAGGCCCTGCCTTATATTGGATGAACATGTTGAAACTGTTGACCACTCGAGATCATTATCCTCCACTTCCCTCATCACTCCCAAGCTACGAACTTTTGGGCGCATTACTGTATTATAACCAGATTAGTTCCATGAACAAAACTTTAAAATTTTGGCCGTCAGATCTGTCCAAGGCAATGGAACCCATCACGTTTCCAGTCTCTCAGACATAATTAAAATTAGGCTTCTATCACTTTTCCGAGGACTTCGAGAAACGTAAATGAAGAATGACCGTAGCGTAAGGGAATCATAGTCAGTCCTGTAACAAATCTCGTTCACAAGGATCATTTTATCTGTGACCCTGATAGGCTGAGCTGAACTAACCGGGAAGGACAAGTTCAACAACCGACAACCGCCAAGACACGCTCAGTTGGTAAAGCAAAAGAGTCGCAATCAGAAGACCCTGGTTCAAATCCCAGTGATTCTAAGGAGCCGATTCGGGACGTGACACATGCATGGCTGCAAGCCCGCCTTCATCCAGCCATTGGTAGGACTCCATAGTACCCGACGACAGCCGGAGAGTGAACTGGTCGGAACATTGTGTACAAGCTAACACACCATGCGAGGGCGATAGTCTGAACGTAACTCCATCCGTGTAACTAATGACTTGTTTCAACTCTTCTGTGCCATTTATCTGGACTGCCCTCTCTGTGGAACTTGCGCGGACTATTTTGCGCCGCCTATTTTGAATGCGCCAAGAAATGTATGACGTCATAGACGTCGCACGCATTCCGCTTCCTCAGTGGCCATATTGAGTTCGAGGTCAATGCAAATATGACCATTGGCTGAGTCGTGTCTGGAGAACATTAGCACTCCTACCAGGTCCCCACTTCCATCGGCAGAAGTCGACTTCCAAGCAGCTGAACGCCCTGAATGCAAGTGCCGAGCACATTTGGTTGTTTGGTCATTTGGTTTTTTTGGACTAGAGCCATTTCAGCCAGCAATAATCATCCCAGAACTATAGAATGGAGGAGAATGGATAAAGGTGGGGCAGAGCTACACGCACCTGGGACCCACCGCCGAAACCAAGTCCACATAGTGAGAGCTAGGACGGAACTAAAGAGAGATAAAGACTCTGCGGGGTGTGTGCTTAGCGCTTGGACGGGGATCCCACCAGGAAGCTGCTCAGCCCACTCATGGCTGGCGCATGCAGCCTGTCCCGGATAAGCGGGGCGTCGCAAGGATGCAGGATAAAGGAAGAACGAAGACGAGAGGGCCGGTATCTACAGCACAAACCACGCTTAGTGATAATCATACAGGCATTTGGGCAGTCGTACTGGTTACGGTAGACTCAAGACAGGAACATAAATGACGTAAGAATGGTGTCATAACAGAGAATGCAAATACAAATAAAAGTACATAAAATCACGAACACGTACATAAGACTACCAAGAGAAAATGTCAAAATGCACGCACACACACACACACACACACACACACACACACACACACACACACACACACACACACACACACACACACACACACACACACACACACACACACACACACACACACACACACACACATACATATATATATATATATATATATATATATATATATATATATATATATATATATATATATACAGCGCTTGAAACACTCTTTTAAACGTGCAGACCACTAACACCAGCTTGTGACGCGTAGAAGTACCACAAGTGAGTCAGGCCGTCCGCTACATCGACAATTCTGACAAGGCTAGCCTGGCAGCGACTCTGAAGTCATAAACGCGCTCGATGACGTAATCAAACGATGACGTATTGAGGAGCATATTTACTAAACAGTTAATTTTTGTTGTTTGGCAGGTATTTTGCAATGAGAGCATACCAGTAGTGGCTAGGAAGCCTTTTCCATCACATTTCGTGCTTGCTTTAATGCCTTCAAATGTGGAACATGCCATTTACTGGCATGGATGGGGAACTTTTGCAATTGCAGCAAAAGTTAATTAACTCTTCCAATAATTTGATTAGTTCCAAGGAGTTAAATATCTTGCCACCGGGGGGAGCGGCATGATCTTTTCACATACCAAAGCATTTCTTTTATTTTAAGCCAAACAAATCGAAAGTTGTGTACTTGACTACCCGGGAAACAACTCAGAATTATCCCATTAGGCCGTACCGAAAATTGCAGAGAAAAAAAAACTATACGGGATCTCCATTCTTAGTCAAGGCATGGCCTCCAAGCATGTACCATAAACTAAGCGTTAAACCTGTGTTCTCCATGTGCACGTCGCATGGGATTATCAGCAAACTAATTTTTACAGCATTCGGCAAATTTGGTAGCCTTTGACATAATCCAGGATCATAATGTTCCGAAGCGTAAATTATCGACCATGCCGCATCGATTGATAAAGGTTTTGTGCCGATCGGCTGCATAGACCAAGCATGGGGCTGTCCGCAGCGCTTTTTTTTTTATTTCGGACGACTTTGTTCACCTTTGAGCTGACCCAATGTTAGCGTCACCTGGAGAGGATGGTTTAGTCATGGTGTGGTGTCGAATGGTAAAGGTTTGGATTTGATCAGTCGAATAGGCTCGGCGTAGATTACTGACGCCCTAATTTCATAATAATAAAGTTTTGTCTCAATCTGTTCCATAAGCTCGGAGCACGTGCCTGTCTAACAACTAATTTCAGGCAGTTATGGCCGATTTTGGACGACCTTTGACCCGACCCCAGGCCATCACGTTCTGGAAAGCACAGGTTATCGATTATTGGCGTATCAATTGGTGAAGGTGTGGTGCCTATCAGTTCCGTGAGCTCGGAGCATGGGGTTGTCTAGTAACTAATTTCGGGTGGGTCCGGCCGTTTTTGGTGACCTTTGACCCGACCCACGGTCACCATGTTCTGGAGAGGATTGGATATCGACTATGACGCATTGATCGGTGACGGTTTCATGCTGATTGGTACCACAGACTCGGAGCACGGGGTTATCCGCAGAAAACTTAGATGGTTTGGGGTCTTTTTTGGCTTTGACCTGAGACAAGGTCACCATGTTCTGGAAAGGGTAGAATTTCGGCTGTGAGGAGTTGGCTGCAGCCAATTTCGGTGGTTTTAGGTGTTTTTCATGACTTTTGACTTAACTCAAGGCCACCATGTTCTGGATGGAACCAGGGATTTCAACTATGGCGCATAGAATGGTGAAGAATGGCGCAAAGGATGTTGACCGTTCCAATCCCCTAGGAGCGTGGTGTTGCGTGCAAGCCAATTTGAGGTGGTTTCAGCCGTTTCTGGTGACCTTTGACCATACTCCAGGTCACCATGCCCCGCGGAGGATACGTTATCGACTATGGCACATCGATTGGCGAAGGTTTGGTGCCGATCGGCCCCATACTCGGAGCACGGGTTGCCTGCGGACTATTTTTCCAGTTTTTTTTATTTTGGGTGACCTTAAGCCTCACCCAAGGTCACCATGTCATGTCAAGACAAGTTATCGAATAAGCGGCGTCCATTTGCGAAAGTTTTATGTCGATCGGAGCTCGGATGCATGCCGATCAGTGTTCGGAGCTCAGCTGTCAACAGACCTGGTCGACCGTTTTGTCCCTCCCGTAGCATGGGGTCACCGAAGGACAAATTTCTGTCGGCTTCGGGCATGTTATCTTGTGGTATTAGGCCTGTGGCAAAACCTGTGGTATTAAATATAAATGGTTTAGCTCCTTCCTGATGTTATCATTGTTATGGGGCCTTGGTTTAGTCCCCCCCCCCCCCCCCCCCCCAGTAAATCCGGTATCGGCTTCGCACCTACGCAGACTGTCTGAACGATCTAGAGCAAAACCCATGCAACATTTACACCCGCAGATACACAGCACATTTTAAAATATGTTTAGCATCTTCACTTAGTTGCATGCACCATATAACAACCGTGCATTGCGTTTTACCTCACACCGCCACGCTGCGTACCCAGTTCCTGCTACGCATCCACCGACACTCAATCCTGGCTTGCAGCAGGCAGCTATTTGGGAGAAGGTATAGGTCACAAACACTGTCAGCTGCTTGTGACGTCACAAAACCAAACGTTGCTGCAAACTTGATAATAGTTCCGCATGAAGCCGGATCACATGGGACGGAACCATACGGAATCAGACGAAGCTGAACAGAGCCGAACGGGATCGGACAGAGTAGGAGAGAACCGGATGGAACGTAATGGGGCTAGACGGACAGGATGGCTCCCGACCCACCCGATAGGACCAAACGGATTTCGAAGTATTCGAGCCAAACCGGATGGGATCAGACGATGTGCGACAACATCAGACGTGACTACTTGAAACTGGGTGGGATCAAACGGGACGGGACGGGGCCATGATAAAGCGCCTTGAGCCCAGACGGAACCGCGCAAGATCGGAAGAGACGGATTCCGACGAGACGGGGCGGTGCGAGCTCGGACAGTGTCGCACTTCACCTGACCCGACGGGATTTGACTGGACGGAATCGGATGGGACTACACTGAACTAGAAAGGACAGATCATGACCGGATGGCGCCAAATGGGATCAGACCAAATCAGACGGAATTGGGCGGGAGCAGACGGGACCGGTCAGGTCCGTTCTGGTCCCATTCAGCTCGTCCTGTCCGTCCTGTGCTGTTCCTTTAGGTCACCTCTCTTGCCATCCGACTCAATCATCGATATGCTGGGCTGAAACGCGCATGCGATTATCACTAAGTTAACAATTATTTTGTTGTCAAGTGACGTCATCATACAAGGAGCTGAAGGTGTGAGAGAACTTAACGCCCATGCGCCAGTTTCGTGCATGAGTTCGTTTGTTTGAAACGGTGGTTTGGCGAACCGTGGGTCTGGCGGTCAGTGATTGGTGTGACAAATACCAAGGCGGTGTGTGCTTACGGCAGGTTTCGCTACATAAAGCTTTCATAGTTTGCAGATTGTTTACATAAATAACCGTATGGGTGATTCGTATGCATAGATAGTTTGCATAGAAGTCTGAGCTGCAGGAGACTGGATTCGTGGTTTACTAATGGGTTTGGCATGTTTTTTTTTAAATTCCCGTGCAGTGCCTTGTTTTCAAGTCAATTCTGGCATTGGATGGTTATGGTTATGGAACATACCATGTACTTTCATGTGTTGGATATGTGCAGATGCAGTACGTACTTGCTTTAGTGTTGTGACCTGTAATGATTCATATGAAAGGTATGTACAGTGGCCATGGGTGTGGCTTTGCAAAATCAGTTTGGAATTGACTGAGTGGGATAATGGGCTAAATTTAACCCTGAATTATTGTGAAGTATTGGTTTCTCATTGTATGTGGTCACCTTAACGCTGTTTGTGGGGCCTCCTTAAATGAGAAGCTACACCCCTGGTATCATATGTTACTACTCCTGGATTATTTCAACATCAGTCCCTGCTCTTCTTTGGGATTCACCCTCTTACAATGTATCATTATACAACTATGTCTGGCTGTAGTTAGTGCAGGGCTCAAGCTATGGTGTCTGCTGTTGAGAATAAAGCTGGCATGTATCATCAATTGTGTTTGTAAAATGGCATACACTACATAATGGGGTGGCTTGTTATCAGAATATTGCTTCCTTATTTCATCATTTTTGTGTGGCAGTTATTGTTCCAAAAGCATTTGCTGTGAATAATTGGCAGATAGTTCTGTTTATTTTTTGCCAGAGAAAACATAAGCTGGTGTATGTTTCATATAGAATACCCATGAAAACACATAATGTAGTCAGCAATACCTGTTCAAAGCCCAGCTGGCTTTGTAATCCATTGCCTTGGAGGCCTTCAGTCTCAAAAGGTCAGCTATAGCATTGTCTCATTTAAGCAAAGGCTCATTGTAAACCCAGAAAGGATCCATGTTAGTCTGTCATAGTCCAGGTTATGTTCTCAAAATGTCTACTGTTGTCTTAGAGAAGGCCTTTCATACCTGGAAAATATTTATCATAAACACAGAAGTGGCTCACAACATTTCAGGAAGGGATCAACATTATACTGGGAAAGTAAGCATGTCAGTCCCTGAGAAGCTTATTTGATATGTTTGGCCTGGGAAGTGCTCACCCCTTATCAGGAAAGACCCCATGATAGACTTAGAAAGGGTCCCTCATCCAATGGCCCCCTATGGAAGCCTGTTGAACACTCCTAGTAGAAATTCAATCTCTGAGTCTTCATGACTGGGCCATACTATCTATGTGGTGGCTGGTGGCTGGCTGACATGCTGTGGGTGCCATTGTGGTCTCCATCTGGCCTATTCAACATCTAATGTCTTTGCAATCAGCTAGCCATTTTTTGGGAGGTTGCAAGCAACGCAGGCACATACAGCATGAGGTGGTGCTTGTCTTAAATCCAGCTCTTTTAGTTGTGCTGGAGAGACATGCCTGGTTTCCAATGTTGTTTCCTGGATTCCACTTCCCCCCTTTGGAAAATGAGGTCTTAGATCCTTGGTTTCAGCTATTTATTTAATAAACACATTCCTGGTTCCTGGACCATTTTAATACTTTTGCAAAGACAGCACCCTACTTCCTGGCCCTCACCAGTTCTTTGGAAAATACAAAGATGGGCTCCTGGTTCCCACTGATTGTGTCACAAACACCAGAAGCTAGTTCCTGGTTTGTGTGTGCTTTCCACCAATGCCAGACTGTGGTCTCCCTAGTCCCACCAGTTCTGTTACAGATGCTGGCCCATGGTTCATGGGTCCCACCAGTGATGTGTTTTCCAGTATTTTATCATGGTTAATTGTCATCCTTTTTTCATTTGATTTGAACTCAACCTTTATCCCCTTTGACTTTAAGCTTGTCATCTTTTTGTTGTTAGACTTTTCCTCAATTTGGCCTTTGCCCCTGTTGACATGCATCCCTATTTACTTGTTGTGCTTGAGTTTTGTCTGCTTTGACCTCCATTCCCAGTAACTTCCAACCCTTTTCAGGTATTGTCCTTGTAGTTTTTCTACTCCCTTTATCCCTGGGGACTCTGTGTTGTTCAAATTGTTTGTGCAGCAAAATGTGGCACAGTCATTGTGATTTTGAAAATTTCTAATTCGTCATCAGCCTGTGGTTATTTGCATCACAAACTGACACAAAATCACATCAAAGAACAGCTTATATGCAGAGATACACTATTTAGGGTATCTACATGTTTTAGTAGTACCTTTCAGTTGGTTGCACCTTGTTTGACATTGTGTGGTTTTTCAGATTCTGCTTGTGTTGTATTGCTGGTCACTACTTGCCATCAGCTATGGGCGCCATGCATTTTGGTGGGCTTTCAGCTGTATCAGTGCTGGTTTTCTTCATTCAGACAGGTAAGGGTCTAGTTGTCAACATGTGTGCAACATGTATCATATTTGATCACAGTAGCCATTCAAATAATTATCACTATATTTCTTGTTCCAGCATTACAATGCATTGCATTACCAGTCGCATGTTTCCAGCACTTAAAGCTGTGAGTGTACGAGAGTGTACGTTAAGCAGAACATGTTGCCTTGTGAGAGGCGTTGGTCGGCGCAATGACTGGGTAGATGGCGTCTTTGGCTTCCACCCAAGGGGCCGGATGCCAACTCCGGTCGCGCCCTGGGCTCTAAGCGTTAGAAGGTCACTGGAGTCTCTACAGGCACTCGCGGGCCATGAAAGGGTGCGCGACGATGAACGGCGTGTTCCTTTTTATGAAAAAGAAGTATTTCAGAGAGCTCAACAACTCTTTTCATGAGCATTGCATTCAAAGTATGGTGTAGAGTAGCTCCTCAGTTTTAATGATCATGTGGACCAGTGGCGTGTCCAGGATTTGGCAATGGGGGGGGGGGGGGAGGGGAGGGGAGATGGTTGCACAACTCGAAAGCTTTCACTCAAAACTTGGTTGTGTTTGGCAGGCGTGTGAAGCTTGTTTCATGCAGAAACAACATTGCATGTTCTTGGTGACTTTATTTCTGTGCATCTTCCTTGAGTGGTATAGTGTCAACATTAACGAGATCTCGGTGCTGGTAATAACTTTTTATGCTGCCAGGGCAGGCATTGACCTTGTTACACCAGGTCAAAAGTCAAATTGTCCTGAAAACTGGCGTTCTTCACCTGTCGGCCTGCAGAGCGTCATGGTCTTATGGTGTCGGCTCGGATGCGCTGATTCGTGAAGGAACTGTGAGATGACTCGAGGCTCCCGAGCCGGCCTGTGGAGACCGATGCGTCATATGAAGTCCTCCCGAAGCGGATGGTCTTCTGCTGGTGTCGCATCGGGCTCGGTCCCTGGCCAGCCGGTGTTGGCGTCGCCTGACCGCGCTCTGTTTTCAGCGGCCGCTCACGAGTGTTACGTGTGCGTCGGCCAGGCGGGCAACGGCGGCAAGTGCACGGAGACGGTGGCGCTGTGCGAGTACGAGGAGAAGTCCTGCATGACCACCGTCAGCTGGGGGAGTGAGTGCGGGCGCACGGCGGCCGGACGGACGCCTGCCGCTGGACGGGTGCACCGTGCCGGTGTGGACGCGGGAGACTGGAGGGAAGCACCGTAGCACTGAGGGCGTCCGACGCTAGACAGCAGCACACAGGGCGGCGGTGCGGATATCGGACTGGGGACAGGCCAACAGGGACACGCTGCAACGGTGTCGGTACTAGACACGGGACAGGCCGCTTTAAAATGTAGCTACTCGACCCTGGACTTACCACTGCTTCAGCGTGCATACTGGGCTCGGTGACGTTACAAGCCTATGGCGATGATGCAGGTGCTTACACGGCAGCAGTCAACGTATTGAATACTTGACACTAGTACAATGGTGGTGTGCTATGAGTGAGAGTGTTCAATCGACAACGTAATAATAGGCAGGACCTGACTAACGACAAAAAGTGCACAAAGTCGTGTGCCCATCTGTCTGACGTCTGTTGGCCCGCCTGCGGCTACCTGTGCGGCTGCTGTGGGTGTAAGGGTGTAGCTGTATGCGTGGGTGTGGGTGTGGGTGTGTCCGTGGGTGTGTACGTATGTGGATGTGGCCGGCGGCTGCTATGTGTGTTTGAGTGTGGGTGTGTGTGTGCGTGCTGTGCGCGTGCGTGCGTGACGCGCACCGGTCCGTCCGCAGGCACCCCCGGTTGGCGGCTCGGCGTGCCGATGATGCACTTTGTGTCGAAACAGTGCGCCACCGACGTGCAATGCGAGAGGATGCGCATGCACAATATGCCGTTCTGCACGCGCATCTCGTACGAGGACTGGCGGTGCACCTCCTGCTGTAAAGGCGACCGCTGCAACTATTACATCATCGTGAGTTCGTCGGGCCACCAGCACGGGTTTACGGCTGTTGGCGTGGGTCGACGGTGATGTGGTGCGAAGTTCTGCTGGAGTCGGCTCTCGCGATGGGGAGTGGGGTCCCAGAAGTGGGAGGCGTGGGTGGATGGGGCACGGGGCCTAGGTACTGTGGTTGGCTTGAACCTGTAAGTTACGGCCACGTGCTGCGTGTAGGCGTCACTGTGGAAATGTTATGGTCTTGATGGCCCGGGCCGTGTGAGAGCATTCATGTATTTGTTCGAAAAGACCATACATCCGCTCGTAATATTGGCTAACGACGTGCCTGTCGTACTAAGTAATCAAATGGAAGACACCTGTGAGGGATGTGGGCAGGACGTTGTGTAGATGGGCGAAGTTGGGCGGGAACCCATAAATTGTTGGCAGCATGATTGTATAGGCTGGAGCTTGGCACTTCTATATATATATAACTGGGCGACCCATCAGCTGCCGCTGCGGGTTATGTGGCGGTCCGCGGCGGCACCGCACGATCTTTCCCGCGGTCGCCTGTCGCCTGATCTGCCAGCCCCCGTGCATGCCGTGTGTCAGCCGGCCGTGGTGCCGTGCTGACCTGACCCGGGCCTCGCGCTGCAGGACGGCGCTGGGTCGCTGCAGGCGGCCGTCTTGCTGGTGTCGGCCTCGCTGGGCCTGCTCGTGCTGCACGGCCGGCTGTTGTGAGCGCGTCGCCGCGGCTCAGCCGCCTCGGCCACTGCCGCGTCACACCCGGAGAGGCCCTGTGCGCCGCCGCGCGGCGTACGTGAAGCCTCGGGCGTGGTAGTGCCATGTGCGCAATGTGCAGTGGTGTATGGGACGCTGTGAGAGATGCTGCTTGGGTGGATATATGCCAAGTGGCCCTGCCGGAGGGATGGAATCTCGTGCTGTTGTGACGTATCTTTTTAGCTTTATAGCTGGTTGTACCTAGCGCATCGCTTTAGACATAGTCCAGCCTTCTATGTTTCAGTTATGCCATCATTTTATTCCTGGCTTAACTTGTGCATTCATACGTCTGTTTGGTGCCTTCTGTCAATCTATCCATCGGCTTTTGATCACATTTTATCTCCGCCGTCATTCCATGCGAAGATTTTGTGTGCTTACTGCATACATCCTGAAACGATAACGGCATTGAGTTGTCGATGGTCCGTATGCTTTCTCTGTGAAATGTACTACGTTGAATGGAAAAAGGCGATAGAACGTTTCATCGCACGGCACTGCGTCCAGCTGCAATAGTTTCGCGCACGAGAGCAGCTTATTTACCATCCAGTTTGCAACTGAATGTGTTACATTCCATTGCGATATAGCAAGTCTTGCTACAAACTCCCCTTTGAAATTTCGATTTCGAGGTAAAGCACTGGGTAAAAAATTACTTTTGACGGGGAGAAATAGCTGAGTCGTACGCGTGGAGAACTCCTGCACGGAAAGCCCGGGTTTTATCCTCGGATAAAGTCATTGCCTCCTGGCGTTTGAGCGCCCGTTGGTGATGGCACGTCGTGTCTGTTAAAAACTGTTACTGTGCTCTTGCCAGAGAACTGGCGTGACACGTCGCGCATGCGGATTAGTGCGTTAGTGTTTTCATAGTCTCTTTACAATAGCGTGTCACATTGTCTTACGTGCTCTTTGTCTCTGCGTATTTACCTCGTGCGTGTGTTGAAGCCTCGTATTTCTGCATATTGTATCGGCGTATTTATAGAAAGCGCCATCAGAAGTCTCGAATGAACATTCCATCTTCATCACATTGAAACCTAGATGTGCCTGCTCATCACAGAACCGTCCAAGATATACGCGATTGGTAGCTGAGTGTTGCACCGAAGTCGCGACATTCGCGAGTTCAGCCGTCTCGGCCCGAGTATGTGTCTCGTGAACATGAACATACCTGAGGCATCTCGTGTGAGGCGTACCGTGTGTCGAACAAATGAGCGCTGACGATGCATTCTTCAATGTGCGCTCGAATACACGGTGTATTCCAGTTGCATGTGCGTTTACTCATTTTTTAAGGTATATGCTGTCGTGCAGTGGAAGTATCGGAATTGAACGGACAGGGAGGAATAGTACAAATACAACACCGGAAGTTCCGGAATTGGACAAATACAATTGACAATATGACACATTTGACCCACATTTGACACACGAAGCATATACGAACGCATTGCATTGGTATGGTGGCTCAGTATACGCAGCTCCTCCCTCCGTGGCGGGCAGCAGAGCTCAAACGTTTCCTGGTCCCAGCCGCCATCTTGTGCGGGAGCTCACGCTACAGTGTTCGAATTCCTTGTGCTACATTTTTTACGCCGGCTCAAATGCTGCCTACCTCGAGACATTCACCTTCATTGTGGTCCGTGTGGGCTCAGTAGGCGCAATATGTGAGTTGCAAGAATGGTCTCACTCCTGCGCGATGGGCACCTCCACTTCAGCTAAAACTCTGGGCTGTCTCCTAAGCATGCTGACAGCAGGCGAGATCCGGCATGATATTTTGGTCCCCACACACAGGATTCATGAACGGAATGAACTGTTGCTGATGCATACCGAAAAAATACGTTTTACCGTCTAGGGCAATTCTGGTTGAATAGAAAAACGGCTCAGACTCACCATACTCCAACCAGATTATCAATTTTTGTCGCACCTGCTTTTTGATAAATTTTTAACTTCTGGAGATGGAGACGTCGGCAAAGCTGGCATGTGATTCGAACAATTACATATTCAACACAAACGACGAAGTGCGGATCATTTCTTTTTCCTTGAAACTCTGGCATGGTATACAAGTGAGACCTAGTCACATCCTGGTAAAGTCATGGACTCACATCTAATATTTCGGCCGTTTTCGGTTGTAGAAACTCATTTCTCCGCAGGGCTCCTCTAGAAAATGTCGTTCTTTGCAAATGATGTTCCCCAAGCATAGAACACACCATCACATAGCATCTTCTGAATGAAGCCGAGGGTTTGATAGACAAATGCTGATAACTTCTGTCAAAATCGATGTCTGAGATCGATAAGTGCCGTTCTACGACTCTCTTGAAACTCCAGCAAAATGGGCAAAATCTTCGGGTCCCTCCTGTCATATTTCTGTAATCAGCTATTTCACTGTCAGCCGATAGTGCCCCACCAACGCTACCGTGTGCACATGGCTGCCGCGCGAGGCCAGGGTGATTTAAATTGAACACCTAACGTCACCAGCCGCCGCTACGGTCGGTTGGCCAGGGTTGAATGAAACGCTTTCAGGGGGCAATTAAATAAAATGGATGTCATGATCGCACAAATGTACTGTACCGGCAGCCGATAACCTTACAACAAACACATTGCATGCACAAGGTCGCACCCTTCGGCGCGATTATACGCATTGTTCCGCGGCTGCAGCATGCTGGCCAACACTGGCCGGCTGCATTAAGCCATACGCGGTCAAAACGTGAGTTGCGCGAAAGGTCATTTTCGCCGATGAGCGATTTACATTACTGATCGCTTGTACCCCGACAATGAAACCCGTGTATATGGTCTTACCGACTGCGCGCGGTTGAATGGATTTTAAATTGGACGCCGCTCTTTGCCAAGTGCTGCCGCGGCCGGCCCACTATCATTGAGAGGGCACTGTAGGCGATGGGGGAGGGGACGCGGGCGACTAAATAAAATCGATTTTCTGATCAGACAAGTGTGTTGTACAGACAGCTGCTAGCCCAATAACACCGTTATTGACCAAAAGTGGCTTAGATTTGACACCAAGTGTTGGCAAACCGCCGCTGCGGATGTCAATCCAACACTGGATGGGACTCAATCCGGGTGTCGACCGAATATAATTTATTCCCTAATCGGACAAGGGTGTTGTGCTGGCAGCTGACGCTAGTATTACCCATTGAACACCGTCGCATCCTCTCCGCGCGATTTTGGGTATTCCTCATGGGCCCCCGTTTACTGGCCATCACGCTACGGGCACGCCGGCCGCAGATAGCGATGGGCCATCAATGGATGATATACCGAAAACTCATGTCGACCAAAAGGTGATTTCTATTGCCGGTCGATATTGGTCCCTCATTGTCATCATGGGCGCTTCAGCTTGGTCGCACCTGCCACGCACGATTACCATTAGACGTATTGTTAAGTGGACGCCGTAACTTTGCAAACCCTCACTGTTGCCAGCCAGCATTGAGTGGATTGCGGTGGAAACTCTTCGGACGTGCTTATTGGTATTTTCCCGTAGGCTGGCCATTACCGTACATGTTGGCCGGCCGCTGTTGGGAATGCATAGCCAGGTGTGACTTGAACAAAAAGGTCACGTGGGCCAATGAGCGATTTACATTGCATCCGCCGCGCACAACTAAAGGTATTTTTAATTGGATGCCGTAGCTTTACAAATCGTTGCTGGGACCGGCAAACCACCATTGAATGAGATGCTGTTGATGGGTTGACGGAATGAAATGGATATCTTATCAGCTGTATTGGCGGCTGACAGGGCTATAACAGCGCCATCGACTGAACACAGTCGCACTCTTGACGGGCGATTTCAAGTATGTTTTCAAGTCCATCGCATGCTGACAATGGCACGACGGGTCGGCCGGTCGAAGTGAAAAGTGTGCCGTCGGCGACTATTTTTGACAAACATGATCATGCCGGCCGATGAGCAATTTGCCTTGAAGGCCGACTGTGCTCCGGAAATGATGTGTGCTCATCGTCGTGCCTGCCGCAAACGACTAAATCTTTTCTGGATGGGATGCCGTAACATTGCAAATCATCGATGCAGCTGGCCTGCCAGAATTGAGTCAAACGCCGTCAAGGGTTCTACCGAATATAATAGATTCCGTAATCAGACAAGTGTGCTGTACCAGAAGATGATGGCCCTGCCCAACGCTATCAAATGCACAGTCACGCTCTTCACGTTGGATAAAGAATGTTTTCCTGGGCTGCCGTTTTCTGGCCATGATGCTACAGATTGGACGGTCACAGATAGCAATGCGTCATGCTGGGCTATTTAAAGAACAAAATGTCAATTGTAGGGATTTTCTTGGTAAATAATTTATTTTGCCCACCGATGGTGCTCCGCAATGAGACAGCATACGCATTGTTGCACCCTCCGCGCACAAAGAAATGTACTTGTAATTGCACGCCGAAACTTTGCAGATTGCCACTAGGGCCTGCCAGCTAGAATTGAGATACGCATTTGGGGTGGACCAAACCGAATGGAAACCACAAGCTGACAAGTGTGTTGTACTGGAAGCTGATAAGCTTGCATGTGCACTGCCGAATGCACCTTGAGGCACTCTTCGCATAAGAATATCAGAATTATTCCCTGAATTTCAACCACATGTGCACGAGAGCACACTGGGTGCGGTATCTGCTGGCAACTCGGTGGTAGGTGGATATTACCTATCTGGTTCGCATGATTCGGTGCCTGGGCATCGTTGGATGTGGCAGGCCAGTCGGTGGCGTGATGGCCAACATGCGATAAACCGAGGAAATGCGAATTAGATTGCGCAGAGTACAGCATGTGGGAATCACAGCGCTGCTGTATGGCTGTTCAGCTGGTACTGGGATATCTTTGCTGGCTGGCCGCAGCCCATTTGATTGCGTTCACATCCTGACAGTGCATCATTCAATGCTGGTGGGCCTGTCGTAGCAACGATTTGCAAAGTTCCTGCGGTCAGTTCAACTTGCTTATTGCCGTGGGCGGCGTTTCGAATACGTGCACACGACAGCACGGTGGGACTGCTACCCGGCGGCGACATAATTCGTTCGTCAATTGACAATATTTTTCAGCTCTTTTGGCGCGTTATTGCATGTGGGCCGCTTTGCTGGCAGCGTCGGGGTCGAATGTCAGTCCATGAAAAATGCTGATAATTGCGTGCAAAGAGTGCGACCGTGCGCCTTTGGTATTAATACCGCAAGGCTATTAGCTGACAATGGATCATGTCTGTCGGCAGACGGCTTCCATTTTATGGGATTGATACCTTGACATCACTCAATGCTGCTGTCTGCCTGCAACAGTCATTCATAACACACCGCCATCAATGGCTTCTTTGTGGGCGGCGAGTCAGTTGCGCCTGAGTGCACGTGATAGCACTGTGCTGGGGGGTGGGGGGGCTATGGGCGGAACGTAAATCGGGCGTTGGCAGACAATGTTATTTTATTCAGGTAACTCCTGACGACCCATTCCTGGATGTGTGGGCGCGCCGCGTATCTGTGCGCCCGCGGGCCACATGCTGTTTCTTAGTGCAATTTCGTTATTCTTACGGACGTGTGTATTTTTGTGATTCACGGGACGGGACTGAATGCGTTAGCTTCAGATGTGGCGCGCGGCGTATCTGTCCGCCGCGGGCCACAACTGGATGCAGCAGTCTGGGACGACAGTAGGGCGGCCTAGTATGCGGGGAGCCCAAGAAAGGACAATCCATAATCATCCGGGCGGGGAGAAGTCCGTTTTATGAAACACAGGGGCTTTCTCAGCTGACGGCAATCCATTTTTAAAAGTGTTCTTGACTCTCTCCTCTCTCTCTCTTTTCTTCCCCAATCTCTCACAAATCTACTGGCGCCAGGTGCCAGTGGGCATTTTCAAAGATACAGTGGCCAGCGACACGTCAAGGCACTGGGGAGCACTTTTGACCAGCAAACCAAATTGACAGCCGACCAACAAAAATATAAGTTGTTTACGTGGCCCCTGGCGGCGTATTACTGAACGTGGGCGGCGTGACTTAACCCACTGCTGCCATACTGAAAGAACAGGTTAACCACACCATGCAAGTTGTATGGTGAGTGCGTAGGAGTTATCGTTTATTCCTTATCTCCGCGTAATGCGTTTCACATGTGTAAAGTTTTACGATGCGATCATTTTCTACCTGAAACCCGGCCCAAAGTTACAAAACTGATGTGTAATAGGAATACCACAGTCTGGGTATTGAAATGGGCGCGCCTTAAGCCCAAACTATCATTATCATAAACAGAGCTGCAAAATCTAGCATGACGCATGAATGTTTGCGCGAATGGTCTAGC